TTACTTTTTTTATTCTTTTATAAGCAGGTTTTTGAGGCTAACAGTAGAGTGTATATGAAATGTGTGAATTAGTGTTGTTGACTTTAATGGTAACTACATGTTTGCCTTGGTTGCTTAGTAATTCCCTTCTGTCCTGTGACTGTGGGGCGTAGCAGTAACATGAGGCAATTATATGATGCACTAGCACGACCTAAGTTCGATTTCCATTGAGGGACTGAAGCGACCAAGGCGAGGGCGAAACTGCAGTCCAGTTCAGCCGGGATGAGAATGCCTGTTGGGAAGTAGGGCCAATTTAGACAAAATGGCATCCTGAGGCCCAATAATTTCATTGTGGAAAACTTCACATACATTTTTTCATCAGCTCTCATTTAAGATCTAATTTATTCGAATCGGAATCTATCAGCCCTAGTCATCTTCGAGCCTACTATTGTCTGCGCAGGTACCAGATATGGGGTGTGATCGCCGGTACAGGCGAAAAAAACATTTCTGGCATAGTCGAATAGACACGCAAGCACACTTCCGTGCAAGCCATTGTGTGGACATAAGGTTAGGTTTGCATGCCGTTTGGAGGATTGAAAGTGCCCGAATGGAATTGCGATTGCATGAAGTCGTGTAATTAGAGCCAGAAGCGGAACAACTCCAGCAGATGTGCAGACTTATCACAGGTAATAACCGGCCCCAAACTGGTCAGGCGGCTGCAATCAAAGTATTGTTTGCATACCCTGACGTGTTGGGAGAGAATTTCACGCAATACCCTGTCATGCCTGGGGGAGAGGAGAGGAAACATTAAGATCACATGTCATGTGGCTCTTGAGAGAGAGAGAGAGAGAGAAAAAAAGATAGAAAGAGAGAAAGAGAGAGAGGGAGAGAGATCCGGGTGGTCCAGCAGGCTTCTGTTAGCAGCGCGCAGCACGAAGATGGTACATGTGTCCACGTTCGATGCATCTATACTTACCTGGGTTTAGCCAACCCATGTCCACATGCCATAGTATGTGTCTGCTTGAACCTCTGAGTATGCGATTGTGTGTATGCACGACTGACCACGTGGTGGATGGAGTGAAATGACGGTGTGAAAGGGATAAAACCGTCGACTGGTTGGCCAACTGGCAACCAGCCCAGTAACAGGCCAGACAGGTCTACAGCGAAGATCGCTAATTGGCCGAAAACTGACGCTCGGGTAATTAGTCAAATGGCAGGGGGCGAAAAGACTCGAGATGGACCCAAGCCGACCTGAACTCCTATGCCCTAGTCCCAATCAGCTTGATAGTCGTGTTGCTGAGGCAACACATTCTGAAAGCAAGTCGGGGCTCTTCTTTTAATTGCCAAACCATGCGTACATTTCATTGTATACTTTGGCATGCTTTGAATAGCCATGCAAGGCCAGTTGACAAACAATCCCAGTCGTCATATGAAGAAAAACTGGGTTTCGAAGAATTCCTTAAAGAAATATTGAGGTAAATAGAGAGTCAAGCCTAAAATGCATCGTACTTTTGTTTATAAGTAGGCTTCGAGACTAACAGTAGACTTCGTATTTAGTTTAGGGCTATGACGGACTGGTAGTTGGATTGTCCCACAATCATAAGAGTAAATCTTACGCTTCTATTCACTTTAGAATAGCCTTTATTCCCAAAAGATTGGAGTTTATTGTACTTTCGGCCTCGCCTGGGCCTTATCAGTACCCGCAGGAGGAGTCGAATCCGTGTCGAAACTGCA